GCAGACAGACAGAGGCAGACAGAGGCAGACAGAGCGAGAGAGAGCAGACAGAGCGAGAGAGGCAGACAGAGCGAGAGAGAGGCAGACAGAGCGAGAGAGAGGCAGACAGAGCGAGAGAGAGGCAGACAGAGCGAGAGAGAGGCAGACAGAGCGAGAGAGAGGCAGACAGAGCGAGAGAGAGAGAGAGAGAGAGAGAGAGAGAGAGAGAGAGAGAGAGAGAGAGAGAGAGAGAGAGAGAGAGAGAGAGAGAGAGAGAGAGAGAGAGAGAGAGAGAGAGAGAGAGAGAGAGAGAGAGAGAGAGAGAGAGAGAGAGAGAGAGAGAGAGAGAGAGAGAGAGAGAGAGAGAGAGAGAGAGAGAGAGGAACGAGAAATGAAAGATGGATAGCGAGGCAAACCGACATTTATGTTAAACAGAGACAAACATACAAAGAGAAATGAGCATGGATGCATGGAGAAAAAAGAGAAACATGAATACGCACTGAATTTTTAAAATTATTGTTAGTATGTTCATCATTAGTTTTTGTCATAGTCGTCGTTGTTGTTATCATAACAGCAATGGTGATAATGATAAGGATAAGACGGTAATAATGATGGTTATGATTATTACCTCGCCAAGGAGGTTATGTTTTTGGTGGCGTTGGTTAGTTTCTTTGTTTGTTTTCTCATTGTTACCCGGATAATTAAAAAAAAACTCTGAAGACTTTTATGATTATTTTTTAACTAGAGGTTTTAAATGCCATTAAACATTGAAAGTGAAACGGATCATGATCCTTATCCGGGATTTTTTTAATGACTGCATAGATATCCCTATTCCCTTGGCAACAGGGCTAAATTATCATTATCATTAATTATCATTATCATTATCTTTATTAGCTCCGCAAAGGAAGATATGTTGTGGACGTCACCAGTGTACTTAAGAAAGAGGTGTTCTTATTGCAATTCTTCAAGTGTGAATATTTTCATTGTATGTCACTCTACTGCCTTGGCGGAGTTATGTGCTGAGGGCTTCTAGTTATTATCATAATCATAATCATTATTACTATTATCATTATTGATATTATTATTATTATTATTAAGATTATCATCATTACCATTGTCATTATCAATATTATGATTATCATCCTCGTCATTATCATTATCATTATTAGGTGTTGTAGTAATGACAATAATTATTATAATTGATATCATTATTTTTATCAATTACCGTAACTCATGGCTTATGCATATGATAAGGGGATATTTATTTTCCTCTCTCTCTCTTCTCTCTCTCTCTCTCTCTCTCTCTCTCTCTCTCTCTCTCCTCTCTCTCTCTCTCTCTCTCTCTCTCTCTCTCTCTCTCTCTCTCTCTCCTTTCTCTCTTTTTTCCTCTCCCCCTCTCTCTCTTTTTCTCTCCCCCCTCTCTCTCTTCTCTCCTATCATTTCCAACGAGTTTACGAGATTAAAATTTACAAGTCAACACCAGGGCGAGCGGTGTACCACGATTTGCTGAATTTTAACATCTCATCGTCGATTTTTTATTTATAATTTTTTATCTCTTTTTTTTTTTTTTTTTTTTTTTTGGTCTTGAGATTGTGATGTCTCGTGATATCACCAATATCGTCCCACTCCTCGATAAAAAAAAATGCTCAGCGTATATAATTTTGAGATAAAAGGTTTTTGCTTGCCCTTCGCTTCAAATAACACAAGGTTCAGCTTTGTACAAGTTATGAGATTCGTGCAACCGCATGATAATTTCGTGTTTAATCAGACTGACCGATAACTGCATTGAAGTATATTCGTCGAATCAGTTAGGATGGCACGATCAGAATATGAAATTTTTAGTTGTGTTTACTTTATCAGCCATTTTTTTTTCTTTTAGAAAACGTAATGTAACGTAATAAATGACCTTTGTTTTTTTTCCTTTCGTTTCTCTCTTTTTTTTAAAATGTTTTTTTTTGTGTGTATTCCTATCTCTGTTTAGTTCGTTTTCTAGTGATTTCTTCTCGCTGCTTCCTTTCTTTTTCCTTTTTTTCGTAGCCTTTGACATTGGTGATTGAAAGTCAAATTTGTTGCACGGAGGTATACCCTGATACAGTTGCAATTTCTCAACCGTAACAACCTAAATCATTATACATAGAAAAAATGCAGCTTGAAATAACGCAAAGATAGATTTGATAGTTTAAATATAGGTTATGGCAGAATATTGAATTCCAGTGATAAAGGCCACAGACTGCAATTGGCTCTAGAAATGTATGTATATGTATATGTATATATATATATATATATATATATATATATATATATATATATATATATATGTGTGTGTGTGGTGTGTGTGTGTGTGTGTGTGTGTGTGTGTGTGTGTGTGTGTGTGTGTGTGTGTGTGTGTGTGTGTGTGTGTGTGTGTGTGTGTGTGTGTGTGGTGTGTGTATAATATATATATATATATATATATATATATATATATATATATATATATATATATGTGTGTGTGTGTGTGTGTGTGTGTGTGTGTGTGTGT